AATGATTGGGTAATCCAAGCGTCTGCTGCAAATCTTCCGCAACGATCGAGTCGTAAAAAATCTTTCTTCATTCAATTCATAATTTTATTCTTTCGTCATGGACGAAAGTTTAAGAATAGGACTTAAAAATTGATAAAATTTATTATTATTTATTACAATTGTCGCTATAACACAATTACTATATTTAAACTCTTTCCAATTAAATATAAAAAAATTTGTTGTATTTACCTCAAAAATTTTTCTACGAGCATAAATTGATAAAAGAATTTAAAAATCAAATGAAACCGAATAACATTCTTTAATACGATTTTACTTCTACTTTCAAGTCAGATTTAAAGTAAAAAAGAATTTAAGATTGATGTGATGACATTGACTAAATGTTTCATTTAAATTTTGTTATAATAATTATTTTAATTTTTTAAATAACAAATTTATTAATTTAATTATTTGCAACGAAATTGTATTACATTCCAGTCAGATCATTATCATTTTCTATTACGAGTGCTACTAAGTCTATTTAAATAATTATTATTAGTCGAATCAGAAATAAAAAAATTATAATTAAAATTATTAACCGATTTTTACAAAATTTCTAATAATTTCACTTTTAATAATTATTTATAAAATTATAATCCGCATGATTAATGAACGCGGATATAATTAAGGGTTCACACTCACGAGGGTATTCATGATGAATCTTGCCGTATTCCGGAAGTTAGCCAAAACGACGACTTCTCGATTATTATTATTCTCGGTGAAATCAATTGCGCACTTGCAGCGAGCTAATCACACTGTATGTGAGACACACTTGGGTTTTCCGAAAAACCACGTGCGAGACTCTCGTGGTAACTGCAGTTAAAGGCACGAGCTTAAGTCGATCACGGTGAGGCTTTATAGTCACCGAGACGCTCTGCTTGTGCCCCCTTTTTGCCCCGCCATCGGCCGTTTTCTGGAGGTTGAAGGGGAAAATAAATCTTGGACGTTACTCGCGTAATCCGCTAACTAAAGCTAAAGGGTGGTGGATAGTGGTCGGGGGGGGCTTTCTGATTAGACGATAGGTAGGTGGTAACCAATGGTCCTCCTCATGTGCGCTCGCGCCTTGCATCTTCCGTGCGCCCACGTATCGCGATCCTCCGCAGGTGTATGTGTGTGTGTGT